TATTGACTGAGAAACAACATTCAAGATAAAGGTCTAGGGAGAAAGGATATCCCGGGGGACTGAGTGTAGCCTAGCCCTACTGATAGTACAGGTCACTAGGTTACTAACTATATCCATTCCCAGCCTTCTGGACAGAAAAATAGGTTCTGTATAATCTTCCTTGAAGAGACAGCCCTGCCTGTCTACCACACCTGGTTTCCCTAGGGCTTATCTGTGAGCACAAGGACCTCATGCCCTCTAAACATAGAGAAGTCAACTCCCCTGAGATGTAGGTCGTCTTCCTTAATTTGTCTTTGCCTCTTCAGGTTTCCTCGCCCGTAACTAAAGGGCAGACCCATGAAGGATCTTTCCCATTTTGCTTATCTGATCTCAATATCACACTGATCGCATGGTCTCACTGTTCCTCATTTACCATTTGTTAAACCTCATAGTTGTCAGTTCCCTAACACTGCCACAGCTGAGTAGCTGTGTACCGTTAGCGCATGAAGTACTGAGGTTGATGGGCAGTCCTTAGAAGAGGGTGAGCAGTCTGTTGCTGAAGATGTTACTCGTGCTGGACTCCCTGGAAAGATTTATTTTTATTTATTTATTTATTTATCTATTTATTTGTTTGTTTGTTTATTTATTTATTTATTACTAGAATCTGGATCTTCACCATGGTGTACGTGCTCAGACTGTAGAGTTGGGTCACTTGTAGAAGACTTATTCTGAGCACATTGTACCTTCCATACCTGTTGTGGAAAGTTCCTCAGTTGTCCCTGAGGCTTGAGGACTTTGGTGAAAATGAAATAATTGAACTGAGCAGTTTTGCTACAATAATTTCATCTAATCTGGTTTTGGAAATCTGCTGAGTTTATACTTACAAAGGCAAACCAGATACTGCCTTAACTGTTTTTTTTTTTTAATATTCTAGACAGAAAACAAAAACACTTCCCTGTCCTTATTCTCCTCCTTAAGTTCCTTTCTTTGCCTTTGCTTCACCCCTAAATAATCTGTTTCTCTGGGAAGGATGGGCAATAAAATCTGTTGCTCTGGGCTCAGTAGACTTCTTGTCGCAGCTAGGTGCTGATGAAATAAAGGTAAGTGTTTTCTTCATCAATGTCTTTGTTTTGTTTTTATCTAACAAAATAATTTGCACATACCATGTATTTATAGAATTATATATACCTTTTCAAGAGAGAATGTTTTTTGATTTTTAGGGGATTGTAGGACTTTCTTTTAGACTCACGTAGAACATGGATCCTAGGGAAACCAAGGTATTATTTTCTCTTTTGCACAAATAGAGAAATTCAGGTGAAGAAAAGTCATGTTGGTCACCCGTTTCCTCCCCCACACAATCAAAAGTCCCCAAACGTTCCCTCCCACTTTTGAAAACAGCCCTTTGTGGCAGATGGAAGGAATCTCTACCGCCTGCATATGAGCAAAACCATCGGGTTTACCTTAATTTCATGAGGTCATAGAAATAGAATAATAAAAATGTGTATTTTGAGGTAACCTGTAGTTTCTATGGCTATATTGTTCTTAGAGGAAATAGCAAAATCATGCAATGTCGTCTGTTTTCTAAAAAGCTTAACTAGGTTAAAAATGATTAAACTAAAGCCCACGGTGTACAGGTCTTCCGAGGGAGCTAAGAATTTTTTGATATCTGAGTGTCATCTTCCTCCAAGCAACCAGCAGTGATTTTTATTATAGTGTTTTATTTTGATTTTATTATTAGTTCTTCTTGCTTAATGACCTGGGGTTTCTCTTGGGTTCAAGAAAAGAATCTGTTTGGTGTTTTTCAGCTGCTATTTCTTGTTCTCTGTTGTCTGCTTATCAGAAAATTAGTCCATGTTCCAATGCACAAAACCTCCCTTCAAAGAGGCAGTGCTAAGTGAAGATGGTTGCAAGGCCAGAAGGAGTGGACATGCTGTTGCTACCACTACAGACAATCATAAAAGGATTTTTGTTTTTCAGGCATGAAGAATTCAGTTCTCTACTCTTACAAAACTCTGTATATCAGAACTTTTCCTCTGTGGTTCTCCTCTTCATCATAAGTATCATGATCTGGGGAAGTCAGCTGATGAGAGTGGATCGGGTTCTTCTGTTTAACTGTAGCCCTCATGTCTGAGCAGCCTAAGGGGACTCATAGGATTTCCTGGGCTCAATATTTCTTGTATGCACTGTGAAAGAAGGGAAACATGCCAACACATACATCCAATGTGAACCCCACTTCAGATCATAATCATCTTAGTTTTTGAAGAAACAACAGAGTCGGAACACTTATAGGTCTGACGTTGCTAGTTCTTGGTAGTGTCTTTTCAATTCAAACGTGAACAATGTCCTTTTCCTTCTTCTTCCTTTTGGGGGCACCCTCTACCTACCAGAAAGAACTCTACACATTACCCACCATTGCTGCTTCACTAGCTTTTTGACTGATTCTATTCAATTTGTGGGTGGGGGTTGAGGTGGGAATCCTCCCTGGACTAGATCTTTTCAGCTTTGCAAGCCGAAGTTTCTTGTGTTTCAACATTTTGCTTGCTCAGTCTCCTTTAGGAATTACAGGTTAACTTGACACCCCTCCTCTCTCTTTGCCGAAACTTGCAGCTGAATTTAACAATCACTTTCCATTAGCATGGTGACTTGGCCTTTTGGCTTGATTAAGAATAAATGCCATTAGCACTTCACTTCCAGAAGATGGGCTTCATAAAGGCTCACCGAGGTTTATTGGTTTGCTACTTGCAAGTGAATATTGGCCAAGATTCCCTGTCATTTTAATGAAATTGGTGTGAATCTTTTTCACCCACTCTTACAATAATGAGAATTAGTGATGTCAGAAATAGCAGGGCATAAAACGTTTCACTAATATTTCCATAAATTTAAGTATAGGACATCACATTCTAATGCTTTAAAGTTGAATGGACAGTTGAATATTTGTGTTGGAATCTGGCCACCACACACACTTGCTGGATACCTTTAAATGCTATACCTGTAAAATGCTGGCTTCACTGAAAACACCTGAGGCAAAAATAAAGCTTCTTTTGCATTTCTGTAGCTAACGCAGTGCTTAGGTAGCAATGTCCCCAACTGACTGTGTTTGTGCGTGTCATTCTCTCTTTTCTCTTGTCCCCAATCTTAAAAATTAACTGATGTGAAAAAAGAATTGCCTAAAGAACAGATGTTCCCTTGGAGGAGAGGCTTTAAATAGCCCATATCTGTAGCCGTTCTGCCTCCATAGCCACTTTTCTCCACATCCGTCTTCTCTTTGTTCTCTCTTAGCAAAGCATTTGTACATAGAATAAAGAGGATAAAAACATAAAACACAAAGGCAGATTTGTTTGTTCTAAGAGCGTCCACTCTGCTTATAAAAAGAACCCACATGATGTCATCCATTTTCTCCCGCTGCCCTCTCAGTGGGGGGTCTGAAAGAGGAGACTGCACCATCTGAGGCTTCAGTTGAAGGAAATGATGAACGGGTCTATTTAGTGATTTGAAATGTAGAGGGGGATTCCATTTTACTGTGTGAATTCAAGATAGCATTAAGAAGCAAATACGATATTCAGTAACAGTTGTTTCTTAGCAAATTCTTCTCCGAAGAGTCATCAAGCTATTTCATGCCATCAGTATGGGGTTTGAGGCTCACTGGATCAACCCAAGTTTCATCACTGATGTTCGAGAGTCTTACTTCTTTGAGTAGCATGTTGGATGGTGGATAAATTCCGAAGGAAAAAAATATGCTTGTGCTGAAACTAAAATAAAATTCATCACTTTTTCAAGGGGAGAAGATTTCCCAAACTTAACTCTGTAACTCTTAAAGCCAGCTCTACTAGGAATATTAATTACTCAATATTTAAAAGGTACAACTTACAATTACCTAAAGATTTCTGTCTGAGTTTATTTTTTCCAAAATAAAGTATCATAGCTTTCTCTTACATATTTTAATATATTTCAAGTTATTTTAAGCACAAAGCTGTGCATATATTGACTGATTTGTTCAGCATTGCTTAACCATCAGCTTTTGCATGGATGAGCTCCATGCCTCAGAAAAAGCTTGGTCCAAATCCACAGCTTCTCTGACGCGTTCTTTGTCTTCAGATTTTCATTTTGGGTCCATGATGATACACTTTCTGAAGTTAGTTTCTTTCCTCTTGCTAATGGCAGCATCTCAATGCCTTGTGTTTCTCTGTCTTACAGTCTTTTGCTGTTAAACACCACAATTCCTTGCTTCCCAGGCCCTTCATAGGGTCAACTTGAATTTCATCTTGACTGTCTTAACATGGGTTCTCTTGAGACTACTAAGTTGACTCCTTTTACCTAGTGGTTCTTTATGTGAAACACTGTTTTGAGATTACATGTTCAATATTGAAATTTATGATATTTCCTTCTCTTGATCTTTTGAGGTTTTTGTTTGTTTTAGTTTTTGGAGGATGATGAACAATGAGAAAACCCTGGGTCCCTTTGTGTTAACCCAGGGGTATTAATTGCAGTGTTTAAACCTAGATACAATTTTTAGTGTTGCTTACTTTTTTGATTGCTATGGTTGTTAAATTCTGATAGGACTGTGGGTTACTAGAAATGGCAAGTTAAGGAAATAGAATTTGAAGAGTAATTTCTTACACATTTGGTAAATATTTTGTAAAAGCCACACTTTTGTACTAAGCTTAAAGAGGCAAGTGACCAATAAAAATTAAATGATGATGAATTTTTGGTATCTAGCCTTACCCAAACAAATGCCCGCTGATTAGTGATCACTGTAAATCTTAAGTCTTTTTAGTATTGAAAGACCTCATAACTATGCATGAAGGAGGATACTTATTTCCTTCATTATGGATGAATGTCATTCCTGTTTTGATTGAGATATCTGATTTTGGAGATGGATATAGAGGGTTGCATGGGAACCGTAGCAGTAGGATCCGTGGCTGTCCTGGGTCATGTGCACCAGTGTGGCTTTGACAAACTTTATGCCCTGAGCAGTACTCTGAGAGCCGGTTCTAACTTTTGACACTTACCACCGTTCTTAGGCAAAGGACCTGAGACCCTGTACGCAGGTCAGAAGCTCAATGACAATGAGTGGCACACCGTCCGGGTGGTGCGCAGAGGAAAAAGCCTTAAGCTGACAGTGGATGATGACGTGGCCGAGGGTAAGTGTGACTGTGGTGGGCTTTGTCTCTGCTCTCACTGTCTGGTCTGTCTGCCATTCACCTTTTGGAAGTTTCTGTTCTCTTTAAAGGAAGTAACACATCATGTTCTCTATGGACACGCACAGGCAAGGCTAAGAATTTCCCCTTACTCCGAATTTCACAATCCTTTTCTTCAGCTTGTATACAGCTAGCCCACTACTGCAATATCCTTCTCATCGGGCTCTCTCTTGGGTATGCAGTCTATGCCCAGAGAACAGGTGTAGAGTTATATGGATGCCTCTGTTACTAATAATTAAAAATGCCTGATCAGTCACTCTCTACGTCAGCTCGCTGCACCAGCAAACAAATCACTCTTGAATAGGAGGAAATAGAGAGTCCAAAAATATAGGATGTCACAGAGAATACGAGAAGAGCATGTGGTAGGAGGTGCTGGACATGTTTGTTTTAATTAGCCATTCAGTTATTTAATTGTTAGTCACTAAGTACCTGTTGACAGAATTTTCTGTCCTGCCCCGTCCCACAGCCATTCAGTCCCGAAGAAACACACAGAGGCCTGCATTAATTATAAACTGGTTGGCCTATTAGCTTAGGCTTCTTAATAATTCTTGCATCTTAACCCATAATTCTTGTCTGTGTTAGCCATGTGGGTTGGTACCTTTTATCAGTGAGGCATTCTCATCTTTCTTCCTCTGCATCTGGGTTACAGCTGCAGACTGGGCCTTTCCTTTTCCCAGAATTCCCCCATTCTGGTCACCCTGCCTATACTTTCTACTTGGCTACTGGCCAATCAGCATTTTATTAAACCAGTGCAACCGACAAATCTTTACAGGGCACAGGACCATTGTCCCATAGCATTATTGTGAGAGGAACTGGCATATAGTGATGCTCAAACAGGCAAATCCTTTGTACAACAGCTTTGTGTTTAGGAAGGCATTGTGTGTATGTGTGTGTGTGTGTGTATGTATGTATATAAAGGAACACTGAGAGTCCCAGGCAATATGGAAGTGCTTCCTGCTGACATGCTATCCATCAGCAATATGTTAGAATAGTAGAAGATAAGATAAAAGGTGCGCAAAAATCACCCATTTCCTATTATTAAACCAATTGAGTAGATTGGGAAGAACTCTGGTATTTGAAAATGTTAAGAATATGTCTTGACATTCCCGTGTAAGTGAGTAGGAATATAATTGTCAATCAGTTGAGAAAGCAACCAACTGGGGTGGGGAAATTAAGAGTGGTTAATGAAGGTAGACTCTCTCAGAATTTGATGGATCGTTTTAATTAGTCAGGCAATGATCCCGAGTTCATTGCCAGCCGAGTATCCAAGCACACAGTGTGCCGAACTCACATCCTAGAAGAAAATTAAACTCCATTCTGCACAGGGCAGTTCCATGGGACTCTGGTGTCATCTGATCTAGCCTGGACATTAACTCCCTGCAGGGCCTTTGGGAAGCCACTCACTATTCCTGACCCTGTCTAATTCAGTCTGCAACCTCAGCTGTGGCCGCCGGTGCCTTCTGTGCCTTCTTCGAAGAGCGGGACAGAAGCCTTGGGTTTAAAACAGTCAGTTCCATGAAACTGTTTTATGCTTTTTGGATAAATATACAGAATCTCCTTTTCTTCATTTCTCCATCTTTAAACTTGAACCTTTGTGATTTTTTTAGGGCCCTTTCCATCGTAAATGTTCTGTAACAGTGGATCCAAAAATTTAATTTTAATTTATGAGACCAAGCTTCACTACTTCTATACTTCTAGAATCTTTAATTGTAGTGTGTGTGTGTGTGTGTGTGTGTGTGTGTGTAGAGAGAGAGAGAGAGAGAGAGAGAGAGAGAGAGAGAGAGAGAGAAAGAGAGAAAGAGAGACAGAGACAGAAAGAGAGAGGGGGGAGAGAGGATCTAGACAGAAGAAAAACACACACCATATATCCATCCAGCTTTAGATGTGGTGCTAGCTGTTTTATGATTATCTGTTCCTTTAATCTTCAATAATTCAACATACTCTTTCAAAATAAATGTCCCTATTGTCATTTTACTGAAGAGGAATGGGGAAGCTAGAGCTGTGTAAGTAAGCTTCAAATCCACGTCTGTGTGATCCCAAAGAAGGAAGCAGTTCGCTGCACTTCACAATCCATCAAAAGAAAATGATTTCTCTTCCAGCACAAGCAAAACATAATGAATGGCTAGGGTGAGGTGGGGAATACATCTCAGGATGCCGACCCCGGCACTCTGTCTCTTTCCACTTAGAGCCACACCAATTATCAAAGACACAGCTCCGTCATTGGAAGGACTTTCTGACCTATGGGACCTCAGGGTAACTTAATGGTATGAAATGAATATAGAAAATGAGATGAAAAAAATGACTTTGTTGTTTAGAAGCAATTTTCGATTTGCATTAATTATTCAAGCTGTCCCCATGAACTGTGAGATCAGACAGTAGCCTGCAAATGCTGTGCTTGCAAGCAGCACTAATTCCTCTGGATTTGGCTGGTTAAATCCCAGGATACAGTTTACAGTGTGTTATACATAGCTACCACTAGGTGGCACTCTCACCCCGGTCTCACGCAGCAGTGAGCTCCTTTCATTTTCCTTGAAAACCGCAAAACACAGGCCCTGAGAATTTCAGAACTAAGAGTACAGTAATCCCTTGCCTTGATCATTGTTCTTTTATAGAACCTTTGGAATAAAGGCAATTATGTACTGTGCTTTCTATTAGCGCTAACAATTAGAGCGTGGGGCTAAGCCTTGGCATGTCCAAGCCATCTAGTAATTTTATTTGAAATTAATGAATTCTTCCACTTTCAGCCATACCCCCTACTTCAGTGCTGCTGGGAGACAGCAGCTGAAAAGTAGAAAGGAATCTGGGAGTGGAAAAGAGTTTGTTTGTTTGGTGTTTTTATTGTTGATTTTTTTTTTTAAACAGTGAAACGAGGCTTGGGGATATAATTTTAATTTAGAGAATTCATAAAATCAGGCAGTGACTCTAAAATATACATGGTTCTAAGTGGTGTCTTATTGGCTTACTCAGTAATCCTTTCCATACTGTTTCAGGTCCTCCAGTGTGCCAAATTTCTAACTAGGCTATACAAATGACATATAGAATAGGCCAGGCTCGTTTGTCACCAAAGGCCAAGAAAGAAATAGTCTCCAGCCTAGTGTTTTCCATTTTTTTTTTATCATACAATTGTATTCTTGGAAAAGCACTAAGTTCGGTTGACAGTTAATAAGGCTTGGTTGATTGATGGGGCTAGATTTCTATTATTAAGGACAACTTAAAAGAACGCTTGACTTGGTTTGTGTTTCTCACAAGAGCGAGCTAATGTGCTCAGACAGTGCACTTGCCCAGGACTTCTTGCTCCGGCCCAAACTGACTTCTCTCTCACCCACCTACAGTCTGAATAAGAACGTCCTTTCTCAAAATCTCCCAACAACAATTTATGACTCGTGTTAATAAAACGTTGATAGGGTGTGAATAGGAAATGTTAGGTCACAAAGTGAAGTTCTTTATTCAAGGCTCATTAGGAGGTTTTGAATAGCTAGTGCACATTGCTAATCACCAATAACTGAATATGCACTAATTGCCTAATATATTTGGCTTCGGAATTATTTTTAGAATAAGGCCTTTCTATGGAACATGGAGAAAAGTGTTAGGATTTAGTGTGGCTGGAGAATTGTGATGAAAACGTAAAGTCCCTAACGGAGACTTTATAGACCTCCCTTTTCTGAGCTATTCTTTATATGTTTGGAAGTCATAGAGGACCTAGTGCCTTCTCCCAACATTTCCCAATGTCATCATCATCATCATCATCAACATCATCATCATCATGTATTATCATTATTATTGGTTCAAACTCGTCCTGTTGGCCAGAAATTATATGAAAAGAAAAATGGCCATCCAAATTTTTCCCTTCAAGTTAATGTCTCAAGTCTGAGCCCACTGCATGCCCCCCTCCCCACCATATCACTGAAACTTGCTGAACTCAGCCTCCCTTGTAGGCCATGAGATACCCAGAGGCACTAGATTGTCCCATTTGTAACAAGAACTTCTGTGTAAAAAAATTGAACAATGATTAAAACATTCAAAGAAAGGAAAAGAATAATAACTAGTAGCCCATGGTTATGGTCCTAGAAACTTTCTAGAATTTTGTGCTGATGCCCTTAATCCTGACCAAGGCATACTCCTTTCACAAATGGGAAATGGAAGAGTAAAAAAGTTAAGAACCTTGCCTAAGGCAACCAAGTGAAGAATCTGTGACTCTAGAGTTCAAATCAGAGGAAGATACCCCCAGAGCCTATATACTCATCCTCCATGTGCTCTGTCATCATGGGAAATTGCAGATGTGGCCAGAGTTCTCCTGGGTTTCCTATTTGTCTTCATTCTGAGGGGCACTATGTGACTGGCTTGTCACCTGCTGATGAACTATGGGAGTGACTAAGGACTAAGGCCACGAGGCTTTCTTAGGAAAGATGGCCAATCATCCTGAGTTAGGTGGAATGGCATATGATCCCCAGTAGAAGACTGGACTCTATTACAGTTACTACACGGCAGTGGTAGCAGATCAAGTCCATCTACTGCTTTTTTATGGGCAAGGATATGGAAAATGCATCAAAATTTTCTTCAAAAACAATAGAGTATACATATAAAGAAGCGGTCTGTGTGCTATGCACATCTGGATTCGTGGATTCGGTTTGAAGGTCTACCATACCAACCTGTTGGGACCTTAACCAAACTGCTTCACCCCCGAACACTAAGTGCCCTTACCTCTAAGGAGACATAATGCTGCCATCAATAACTTAGTGCTTATTGTGACACATGTCATAGTCGGAAGCTTAGCAGAAGACCTTGCATATAGAGATAGTTAGTCCTCATGTCTCTTTATTATCTTTCACTCAAGCCTTTTATTTTTCTTTCCTCTGGAATTCTAGAGCAGCCATTCTGAGGTGTGCATATACCTTATTGTCACGTGAGAAAATGTTTGGTCTACACTCAAAGTTCAGAAGGTGTTGTCTTCTGCAGGGTTCTCAGTTCCTTGTATGGATTAGACCACACATGGACTTGTTTTGTCATATTTGACTAGTTTGGTGGAAGTTTCAAATGTCAAGCAAAGTCTTCTAAAATTTTTGTCAGATGTAATATCATAGGGTATTTTGTGTGTGTGTGGTTGGCTTGGTTTTAGTCTGTGTAACAGGTAGGTGAGTTTCTTTAGTGAATAACAGAACCAATTTTTTTTCTGATTTGAGGACCTACATCGATAGATCCCCCCACTGTCCTAGACTTGTAGTGGATCTTTTCCCTGAGGCATCCTAAATCCTCAATCAATCTGGCTCTGGGCTATGCTCTTGAATTCCCTTGTTTATTTCTTTTTCCCTTCCTTCTTTACATTCTTCTTTCCTTTCTCCATCCCTCCCTCCCTCCTTCCTTCCTTCCCTCATTCCTTCCTTTGTTCCTTTCTTCTTTCTTGTTTATTTTATTTTATTTTATTTTATTTTATTTTATTTTATTTTATTTTATTTTATTTTGAGACAGGGTTTGCTTGTGTAGCCTTGACTGTCCTGGAACTAGCTCTGTTGACCAGATTGGTCTCGAACTCACAAAGATCCACTTGTCTCTGCCTCCCATGTTCTAGGATTAAAGGCGTGTGCCGCCGCCACCATCCAGCCCCTTGCTCTTTTCTTCTCTTACTTATCCTTTTACTCTGCCTCTTTAAAAAAATATTCTCATCCAATACCCTATGTACTTTTATTCTGCTTTATAAAACTGGTAATTTTCTTGGTAGGCAGACTTTTCTCAGTCCCCAGTCCTGAAGATAAAATTTTGTAGAAATCTCTCAGCTGAATTTAAAATTGCCTCTCTGATTCCTTTGGGAACTCTTTGGATCGCATGGGGTTGCCTTTGCTTTTAAGGGTTTCACTCTGAAGTTTCTGTGTGGAAGGATGTGAGTGAGGGCACAAATAGTAAGATCACCACCCTGCAGTTCCTCTGACTCCATGCAGTCTGCCTGTGGTCCCTTTCCAGACACTTTCTATACTGGTCTCCACACCTGCTATGAAGAGATAGGGCCAAGTGGAGTTGGGTGCTTTGTCAATCGCTTCACTGTTTAAAAACGTGAGAATTTTAGGTTGTGTTCATTTCATGACTAGTACAATTGTCAATATTAAGTAATTTCATGTCCTAATTCCTTTTCCTAGTCATTCAATTGTTAACAAATTTATGTCGCATTTTGATTTTTGCTCTAACTACAACTTATGTATTTAACGAACATCATTATTTTATTTTTGCTTATATTAAAAGAATAATTTGACACCCGTTGTCAAAACACCATGAAGAGGCTCATCAAATGTAAGCCCTGATTTCTGTGCTCATTTGCAAATCTTTGAATCACTTCTGAGCTTGTGTCTGAGGAAGTAGGATCTATATTTAAAATCCAAGGAGATGAATAAACCTTTCAGACATGGTTGGATCTCTTAGACTCCAGCAAAGTTATCCAAGAAGACAAATGCCCACCCTTCCTCTTTGACACTCAAATTCTGGACCAGTAGAGAGTGAAAGAAAAGTAAGACGGATAGACATCAAATGTCATTTATCAGTGAGACATCTGATAGTAAAACAACAGATTAATTTGACTGAGCCAAATTAAGGAGAAGGTCACTTTGTCTGATAGAACTGATGACTCTCGTGGGGTCCCTGTCATGTTGTCTGTGGGAGAAGCAAATCTCCTCATAAGACTCTTACTCCCAAAACAGTTTGTCTCAGCACCTATCTCTTGAACCTTTGTTTTTGCTTTTATGTTTTTAGTTTTGAAATTAAAACATAATTATAACATTTCTCTCTTCCCTTTCCTCTCTCTAAGCTCTCCCATTTACCTTCCCTGATCTCCTTTAAATTCATGATCTCTTTTTCATTAAAAAAATATATGTATATATTCCCTAAAAATGACCGATCAATTGGTAACTTTGGAACTTTCTAGAAAGGCCTATTTTCAGGTCTCACCTTGGAGTGATGTACTGTGAGTTTGGGTCTCAGTTTTTCCGATTATTGGACATAGACAAACTTTCCAACTTTCTAGCTTTCAAAGATCACGGTTTTACTCTTTAGATCAAAGTCTATGGTTATGTGACTAGAGATGAATTCTGTAGCCCCACCTGATTATGATCAACTTTATCCCGTCTGCAGGATCCAAGTACAAGCTGTCGCTTCGGAAGGCGACAGTATTAGTTTTAGGAAACCACAATTGCTTTATACGTACCAAGTAATGACTTACTATGAGAAAGTGTTGGTCAGGGAAAAAATACTTCTTATGATTTGATTTAAGGTTTCTTTCTTTCTCTCTCTCTCTCTCTCTCTCTCTCTCTCTCTCTCTCTCTCTCTCTCTCTCTTTCTTTCTTTCCAGACACAGGTAATCTCTGTATAGTCCTGGCTGTTCTGGAAACTCTCTCTGTTCACCAGGCTGGCCTCAAACTCCTGTAAACTATGGCTGTGAAGAAAACTGTCCGTTTTACTCCCTGATCCCTGCCTCTGCTTCCCGAGTTGTTTCTTGAATGAAGACAATGAATAGTGATGCCCTTTCACTTGGGTTCTCTGTTTGCTCACGGTTTTCTTTCTGAGACGGCGTTCTCAGCAGCTGACTGAAGTCACGTGTCAGGAGAGTCACTTGGGCTGAGCTACTACTTCACTTCCTAACTGAGCTCAGACCAGGTGCTACGAACTCTCACGAGTATTGTGTTTTCTGGGACAGAACTCAGAAACTTGGAAACACGTTCCTTCTGTAAGATAGAGGAAGGTGGCTGTGAGAAAACAGTAATTATCCCATTCCTACCTCATTTCTGATTATATAGGTACGATGGTGGGAGACCACACCCGCCTGGAGTTCCACAATATTGAGACTGGTATCATGACGGAGAAGCGCTACATCTCTGTGGTCCCTTCCAGCTTCATTGGCCATCTTCAGAGCCTCATGTTCAATGGCTTGCTCTACATAGATTTGTGCAAAAATGGGGACATTGACTACTGTGAACTGAAGGCTCGGTTTGGGCTGAGGAACATCATCGCTGACCCTGTGACTTTCAAGACCAAGAGCAGCTACTTGACCCTCGCCACCCTCCAGGCCTATACCTCCATGCACCTCTTTTTCCAGTTCAAGACCACATCAGCTGACGGCTTCATTCTTTTCAATAGTGGCGATGGCAATGATTTCATTGCAGTTGAGCTGGTCAAGGGGTAAGTAGGAGAGATCACTTAGTTGATGCTGGCAATGTTACTGAAACGATGGCTGTGAAGAAAACTGTCCATTTTACTCCCTAACCCCTGCCCTCGCTAGTACCCTCCTTGGTAATAAAGATCCACACAATGACTAGGGCTGGAAAGGACAGGGACTCAGGATTATTTAATGAAATTCTACTAAGTTGATGTCATAGATCTTTTAACTATGAATTTCTGTCCTTTGATGTTATTGTAAGGTAAGCTTATTTATGTCTTACCATATTTACCATAGTTTTATGGCTATGGTGTGTATTATACAGGTCTGTGATGTATTGCTAATTGTAGTCAGCGGATGCGTAGTAAGACATGAAACCTACTTATTTTACAACCCTACTAATAGCATTAAATTTTTTATTTTAAGGGGAAAGCACTGATACAATCCCCCATTACCCAAAACCATGAAATTGAGTTTCCAGAATTTAGGGACATTGCAGAGGTTAACTTTATAGTATTTAAACCACTCTTTGTCCCCCCGATTCTGCTTTAATATATTGGAAAGTAGTGAAATATGAACAAAGACAGAACTGGGCACGTAGCTTGCCTGAGTGTTTGTCTACCACGCACAAGGTCCTGGGTTCGATCCCAGCGCAGCATGCATTGGGCAGGTGTGATGGCACACACCTGTGAAACAGCTGTGGTGTGATAGAGACAAGAGGATCTTGTCTCTGTGAGATGCCATTCTCACCAGCTGACTGAGGTCACGAGTCAGGTGAATAACTTGGATTGAGTTTCTACTTCACTTCCTGACTGAGGTGTGTGCTATAAAATATTGTGAATCTTAGCCAGTCTCAGCTAAATAGCAAATTTGAGGTCAACCTGAGCTTTATTTGAGGTCAACCTGGACTACACAGATCTTGCCTCAAACAAAGAAACAAACAAATACGCTACTCAATCTTGATTGACTTTTGTTATTATTGTTCTCTTGTGTTTTGTAGGGTCTCTAACTGTACCACTTCTTAGATCTAGATATTCCTATGAAGGATTAAAGAAGCAGACTTTTGGGCTAAGTGTGGGTACATGTGCCCATAATTCCACAATATTTGAGAGGAAAATTGTGAGCTCCAGGCCAACCTACACTATATTGTGAAGTCTTGACTTAAAAAAAAATACAAAAAGGGAAAGAAGACTCTATCACTCTGTCAGTCTGTGAATATGGAATTGAAATGAAGTATGATCTAATAATTATTAAGAATTCTTTTCAGTGTATTTAATTGCTATGTTAGGCCAGGTCTGCACTTGAGATTTGAAGCCCCTTGATGTGTGTGTGTGTGTGTGTGTGTGTGTGTGTGTGATTGCTACTTATCTACTTCATGGTACCTGAAGTGATTGTGTGCTTTTTTTGTTGTTTATATGTGTGTGTGTGATTGCTACTTAACTATTCAGATGGTATCTGAAGTGATTGTGTGCTTTTTTTTTGTCTCTCATAGGTACATACACTATGTGTTTGATCTTGGCAATGGTCCCAATGTGATCAAAGGCAACAGTGACCGCCCCCTGAATGACAACCAGTGGCACAATGTTGTCATCACTCGGGACAACAGCAATACCCACAGCCTGAAAGTCGACACCAAGGTAGTCACTCAGGTCATCAATGGTGCCAAAAATCTGGATTTGAAAGGTAATTCTCCTACAGAAGTTTTTATTTTATATCCCATCTCTCAACAGAACAGTTGTTTCCATGGGAAAGCTCCAGGTTAGGGGTTCCAACCATATACTTTTGTACCACACGTTTTGCATAGGAAAAGTGTTGATTTATACCATAAAGCTACTTATCCATGCCTCAAAATGTTTCGTGATCTCTGATAATATTAGGAATGTGCTTTGGGGGTCTAAAAGATGAGGTGATAAGTCAAGGCTATGTCAAAATATAGGAGGGTCCCTAATAGGGGGGACAAAGATCTAGATGCAGCTAAGTCTTTTCTTCCTGGGTGACGTTGGTAACAATGTCTCAGCTGTACTTAGTACTGTGTATATATGCACACACACACACACACACATACACACACAGGAGGATAGTTGGTCATTACTCTCATTATGGGTTGTTAGACCCTTGATTGGATGTCTGTAAAACTTTCAACATATTATTTCTAACAAACACAAAAACTACTAAATATATGGTTGTTCAGTTGAAAATGTGGTTAATCTTTATTTCTTATAATTAGAAATCTTTATACAGTTGATATGGTGATTCAGACTTTGAGATGTGGAACACAAAATGAATGACCAATCAATATATTTGGGTTAATAGTTTAGAAAGTCTTGCAGTTATTCCTATTTTAGTTGACCCCTCCACCCCACTGTTGTGTTATCATCATCGAAGGAAGAAATAGTCTAAGGTGTTGAGCCTTAGTGGACATGGCTGCCACATCCTTTCTCTACTCGGTCTCTTTTACTTTGTGCATTTTTTTTCTAGGTGATCTCTACATGGCTGGCTTAGCTCAGGGCATGTACAGCAACCTTCCGAAGCTTGTGGCCTCCCGGGATGGATTTCAGGGCTGTCTGGCCTCTGTAGACTTGAACGGGCGCCTGCCTGATCTCATCAATGATGCTCTCCACAAGAGTGGGCAGATCGAGCGAGGCTGTGAAGGTAGAACCTCTCTTCTTCCGAATGCATAGTCTTGTCACAAGCATCCAGCCTCCTTGCTGCTCTGCCAGTGCCTCCTTCCTCAGTTTACTTATCCTTTGTCATTCTCAGTCACCACCCAACAATGCATCCTAATCGCTGTCCTCTTGTCACTTGTTGAGTATGCCAGACATGTGCCATGAGTTCTAAGAAGATTTGCTGGCAGATGTCCTTCCAGGTTTATATACTTGGCAGTGTAGTCCCTTCCCTGTCATGGGCATCAGGCTTCTCCCAATTTGTGCCTTTATTTTCAGAGTGACTGAAAGGGTACTGGAGATCTATTTTAATAATGGCAAAAAACAAAGAGTCCAGATTGGTGCCACGATTTATAAAACCATTTCCTATTTTGGCCAATAGTAGCTGGAATCTCCATAAAAATCCATTGGGAGACAGAGAAATGATGTCAGAACGTCATGAGGTTGGAAGGAAACGTTTATTGAGTACTTACTGGATCAGGCTCTGCTTCTCAGTCTCCAGTGTGCTGTAGAGGTACAGCCTCACTTCCCATGTTAGGAAGACCTGGATTAAGGTCCAGCTGACATTTGGTAATTAACTTACATGCCTAGATCTATCTTTTCTTTCTTTGTGAAATGGGACGAAAATAGGCACATTCAAAAGTAATTGGAAAAATCAGAAACAAACAAAATGCCTGATACCTAGTGGGTACTGGATAAATGTGGGATTATTGTTCCTGAATATTATCTCATATGAGACACATATAGCGCTGCATGTCTACCCACGCTGCACAACAAACCATGCTCAGCCTTGTTTCTGTAGACACTGAAAAGAACAAGTCTTTCCAGAGTGGTTGATGACTGTAAGAACAACTTATCTCCAGCCAGTAGAGGGCAGCAGTGAACACATTTTGGGTTTACTCATGCCTTCAGTTGGCCAGAGAAGAGACTGCATGCAGGTCATCCACATGCAAACGAGTCTTTGCATTCTTTCCTCTGGCTGAGCCTGATGGTCCTTTGTGCAATGTGTTGTGTTTTCTTGCATTCATTTTTCATTTTCCATGTCAAAACTGTTCATTTATTTTCTGTGTTCAAGTTCATGAACACTACTTTTAAAGCAGCTTCCATTTGAGTAAACTCATTCCCTTAAAGCAGAATTTTGCAAGTGCTTTTCAGACTAACTTGTGCTAAAAAAGATGTTTCCCTTTGCCTGAGTCGATGGTCTGTGTTGGACTAGTATCATGAGGGTGATCCCTATGATCTGCTTTCATTTTTCCTTTAACCAAGAATACATTTTTAATTCTGATGGTCATAAATATGGTGTGTGTGTGTGTGTATGTCTATGTGTGTGATGGGCAAGAGGTTAGGAATCAAAGGCCTTGAAGTAGCCATTTTGTGTTTTCCTGAAAATGCTTCCCAGTTTTATTCAACTCATTTTTTTTTCTTTTGGACTTACTGGTCTATTCAGAGTTCTTCAGATGCTAAGGGCGATGCAAGGATAAATGAAGTATTTGATATTACATTAAGACTCTTACTTTCGAAGGTTCAGGATGACAGTAGCTGAACTTCTTCTAGAAGGTACCAGAGCAAGTTAAATTAAAGTCTGAAATCACATACTAAAAAGCACAAGACAGGGCTAGAGAGATGGCTAAGCAGTTAAAATCTATCCTGCTCATCCACAGTATACAGATCCCATTCCTAGCACCCAGGAAGGTGACTCACCACCACCTGTTACCCTTGGTCCTAGGATCCAAAATTTTTTATTGAATCACAGGCACTGCATTCGTATGCATGCACACACATGTACACACACACAATTGAAAATAAAATCATTTCTTAAAAAAAAAACAAAACACAAGGCGCTACTTAAATAGCATTTTAAAAATCATGTCTTATGCTATTCCGGTTGAAAAGTTAAGAAGAATCTATTGTATGATCCAATAGAAAGGTAGTGTAAGGGGCAGGGGAGCTGTATCAGCAGGTAAAGGACACGGTGTGCAAGCACAAAGAGCAGAGCTCAGGTCCCTGGCACCCACATAAATGCTGGGTACCTAGGGCAGCTCGTCCACAATCTCAGAGCACAGGAGGCAGAGATGGGATCGCGGGAGCAAGCTGACTAGGTACTTTAGCTGCGTCAGCAAGCTCTGGGTCCGGGGGAGAGATTGCTGCAATAGACAAGGCACACAATCATTGGAGGGGATTACTGACGTCACCTCCTGGCCCCTGTGCATGTGTTTGCATACACGCAGCCCATGTACACGTACTCATACGACACACAGGCAAGAAAAATAAAAAGAAAGAAATGTAGCGTAGGTCAGACATGCAATTGAAGTTTTCCAATGGTTAGATTGTAAAATGGGTAAAGTAACAGGAAATTAGTTTACATTTTATATTTTATCTTAGTTAACCCAATATAGCCCACATATTAGCAATTCAGTCTGTGTAATAAAGTGGCTAATAGATATTTTATATCCTTTTGATTACATTAAATCTTCAGAAGCTTGTGTACTTTTTATTTGTAGCAGCACCTAAGACCACAAAAGGCCCTTTTGAAGCTCTCTTGCTACGTGTGTTTTTGGTTGCTGTATCGGAAGCACGCTCTATAGACCATGAAACTTGGAGTGATGAGGAAAGGAAGCTGAAGAACTGGAATAAAAAGAGGTTGAAATTAGCGGTTACAAAATGTAAAGACAGAAGCAGGAAGGCTTGAGCCCTCCTCAGGAGAACTTTAGGGGAAAAAGTGAGAGCAAAATCAGGAGAAAATAGCCCATCCCATTGGGAGAAATGTCCCCAGGCTGCCCTGCAGCCCAGTACCCACTTCCGTGTCTCACCGCATGCATTATGGTGGCCTCCAGCCTTGCTCTAAGTACCATGATTGTTCAAAGCCGGATGCTGAGACTTGATGGCTCTCCCATCCATCGATGGCAAAGCCCGTGGGTCTAATCACATGCACTCTATTGCCATGGAGATAATTATGATGGTTGCCCACCAAGCATTAAGACTTCCCTACTGGGTGGGATGAAGTGGAGGATGAGTACCAAGGGAGGGAGGAAGGTCCTTGTTTATTGTACACAAATGACTTAGATAATTAGCTTAAGTGGCTAGGAAAAATGACCAAAAAGTAGGTTAAGGCATAAATTACTATCATTGATAGTTTGCAGCATTGTGAATAAGGTCTCAGAGAAAATCCTGGGAGCCTTTTTAGGGATTTTTTTTTTTTTTTTTTTTTTTTTTTTGGAAACGACGCTGTGAAAGATAGCAGCAAAGAAAAATGAAGGGCCTGAAACCTTGGAAAGACTACAAAAGATTCCATTGTCATGACTCTTGCACACAGCAAATGACTCCTGAGTCTGTCTTAGGGGATAAGGTACAGGGGACACATGGGAAAGAGAGCATGTAGTCTGGTGTCATTTTTTTCATAGAGAATAGGGAACTAATTGGGGACGGGATGTCATTACCAAAAGCCTTGACCTGGTTCTACTTAAGAAGGTGAAAATGTTGTGTTTTTATATATGTAAGTTAAAGAAGACTAAAGTATAACATATGTTCTTGCCAAAGTCAGTGGCATTGCTATTTTAAATTCTTTTAAGATCCCTAAGGAATAAATGCATTATTTTCTACAAAGAATTTATATAAGAAATGAAAAGAGATTTTATTTTAAAATTTAGGAATTTGATATTTTTTATTTTCATTTTTAGGTATTTTTGGGTTTTATTTTTTGAAATGATCTTAAAATAGGCTTTGGTTTTATTTTTTTTTTAATCTTTAATATCACTGAATTAGAAATTAAGTCTGACTTCTGGCCAAATTCTAGCTCTGACTTTTGACTCCTCATTGGAGGCGAGGATTTTTTTTTTTGTAATGTCTAAATTAACACTTCACTTGGCTTGCAACAAATCCCTCTTCCCATGTTGTGATCAGCTTAGCTGTAGAGGCTAAGGTATGTTGAGCAGATGTGCTGTTCCACAGTTGTAGAAGGTAAACATCTGGGAGAAAACACCATGTGCTTCCTTCTGGAACTAGCATGAATCTATAAAAAAGGACTTGCATTTGGTGCCTTTTTTGCCCACAAACATTTGGTTATATTCCTACAAATTTAACAACTTAAGTACTCGGGTGTCCCTAGTGGGTCACCTGGATAGAAATGCGTAACTCGGGTGCCATATTCTTTGGTGGCATCTTCAAGGGAGTAAGGGATTGGGGTAATCAAGAGTCGCCTGTGCTCAACTCCTAAAGGTTCCAAAGTATTTTTGTGGGCTTTGAATGTGCACACTTGTCTTTCAGTCTGGCTACACACTGCCTTTCTCTCTTGGCTGGATGTCTTGGGGTTGGCTGTGTGTGTGTGGGAAGACTCTCCTTGCCCATCGCTTGTGCTTTGTCAAGTTCACCGTTTCCCTGCCCCAGCTCTGCTGACTTGGCTGGCGGAGGCCTGCTCTGCTCTGGTCTGTGCATCCCCTTGTCTGTGCTGTCTCTGGTGACCTTGTAGAGCATTTCCAGTGTCTGTCTGAGTGATGTTGGCTATGCAGATTGCATTTTTTTGTTTCTGTAATGTTATCTTGTTGACTCGACTCTAACTAACCTCTGGTTATTGTTTTCGCTTTTTCTGTTCTTTTGCTAACAAAGTTGCGTTGACCAAAGCTGACCTGCAAGGTAGAGAAGGCTCTTGTACCACTTTGGAGTGAAAGATGCCCTGTGTGACCCTTGGTATTGTTACATTAGAGGGCTTCTAGCTGTCACACCTCTTACAGAGCAGCCATTGTTGGGGAGGGGGCTGAAGCCAGTGTTCTTCCAAAAGGGTGACAGAAAACCAATAAGTACATATGGAAAATGGAAAATAACTGTACAAAGGAAATGACGTGGGTGATAAGAACATTACTCCATTCTGTGTGTGACTGAAAAGATTTGAAGCATTCTATACTACAACTATTTCTCAACAAGATTCATCCTGGAAATCATTAGTGCTTCTCTCAATATTTGTCATGGAGGGCCTGGTTCATTTTCATTTATTCA